GCAGGATGCTGAGCATCAGAATGAAAATTGTTTATAGTTAGAAGTTATAAAAAAAATGAGACATTAAAGCAGATAAGAGTAAAAGTATAAAATAATGATTATAGAGCATAAAAGAAAGCAGGGGAAGGAGAGACACAAGTCCGAGAGCTCAATAAATAACTTGTTTTTGTTTCCTGCTCCCTGTGGATCACTGGAATTAGTTTTCAGGCTCTTTTCAGGTGTGAAATAAGACAAATCTAATAAAGGCAAGACACAGACCTCCAACTACATTTGAGCCTCAAGAGTCCATCTCCGAAAGATGTCAACATCAGCAAAGTAAACCAGAGGGGAACCGAGTCGACTGAAACCCTGTTTCATCATTTGTGGGCGATGATGTCGTTGATGTTTTTCAAAAGTTCAAACGCTTCTACAACTGTGATGCTGGCAAAACTTTATCATATTGTCGTGCTTTTTAGTGTAAATGCATCATATTTATGTTAGAAAACCCACCTTTAGAACTATGGTGAGTCTATTCACCACACTCCCTCACAATTCTAAAGCAAATAATGCGGAAAATCTGTTATCAAATGCAGCTGGGCAAAAGCTGTTCTCCTAAATACAACAATAGGATAATAAAAAAAAACATTCTCAGCAAGATTTTGTGAGAGGACATCCTTTCGAATCTTATTGAAACTATTCGGAGGCAAAACGTTTTTCCAAAAGGAGGTATTTTTGGGGGGGGATATGTTAAAAAAGCAGGTTGCAGTAGTTGCACATGAGGAGTGAGTGATCTTAAAATTCTAAACCCAACACCAAAAACATTAAAAATGATCTATGAGCTCACCTCAAGAGTAAAAGTTGCTTGGTGGCCGAAGGCTACAAGCAAAAAGTGAAGCAAACGCGGAAGTGCCTTAAAGCTGCATTATCTCTAGTGTCCACCAGGGGGCGACTCCTCTGGTTGTATAGAAGTCTATGAGAAAATGACTCTACTTCTCTCTTGATTTATTTTATTTTGTGATGCACCATAAAGCAGAGGATGCTTTAGGGCGGGGCTACTGTGATTGACAGGTTGCTGCCACGGCGGCTTGCCAATCAGGATAGAGGCGTAGTTATGTGTATCCCTCCCAAGCACCACCTTCTCGTCCAACTATGGTCACTTGTGGCTCCAAAAAACCAAGATGGCGATAGCCAAAATGCCAAACTTGAGGCTTCAAAACGATAGTCCATAAACCAAGAGGTGACGTCACGATGGCTTTATTTTGATTAATTATGAATTAGTTGTACATATTTATAATAACTTATCATTTGTTTAAGTAATGTAAGTGAAAGGAAATGTTGGTTTCAGCTTTCCAAATGTGAGAATGCATCTCGTTTACCTGTAAACTTATACTTGGGTTGGTCAGACAAAATAATTTGAGATTTTGTTACTATTTGTCAACATTTTATTGACTAACTGAATAATGAAAAATAAATGAAAATTACAGCTTTATTGACTAACATGTCTGCAGCCATACCTGCTGGAGAGTAAACTGTACAAATTAAACATAAAAACAAAACGAGGTTGAAATAAACAGAAAGGTGCGATGGGAATTCAGTGTATTAAAGGAAATCATGTTAAAGCCTTAAAGCCTGCCTCCAATAAACTTCTTAAGAAGTGATTTATGACGCAGACGTTTGTCTGCAGCGAAAGCTGCTTAGGCAGATCAAAGCTGAGTGCTGGCAGAGATGGGCAAGAATTTAAAAGCCGTGTGTTTGCAGAAGAAGTCGAAGCTGAGAGACGGCACAGAGGAGGCAAAAATATAATATATAATGTAACTGGAAAGCATTTAGATGAGAGACCATTTATAGTTGAATAAATGTACTACTTTTAAAAATCCCACAGTCCTCTACTAATGAACTTTCACATACCGCCCGTGCCGACTTTTTGAAGGGTGTACTTCCAGTTTCACTACCAGTAACATGCCAAGTGTGAAGCTCAAAGACATCTCTATCAGCCTACCTGCTCTTCCAGGAAAATAAATCCCTCATTCCCTTTAAAACAGGTTATATACCAAGAAACTATTTCTGAGAAGCCAAAACCTCCAACTGTGTTTCTTTCTGTTCTTTGCACCTTTTTATTCCATCACAGGAAACGGGTACAGAAGTTCTTTTTCTGATGCTTTTTCAGTTTCTTCCTGCTGCTGCGTGCTAATGAAAAATGAAATAATCAGATTGAAACACCCCTTGAGGAAGAAGTGGCTGCGCAAAGTGTCCTTAAAGAGCCTGGAGTGTGTGGGTTGAATACAAAGTAAAGTCTATTGACCCCAAGAGGAACCATCTATCATTCTCGTTCTCCTTTACTGCGGACGGAGCTCAAAAGAAAGTTGATCAAACTCTTAACAGATCAATTTAAAAATGAATGAAGGATTTTGCAATATGAAGTTTTCATTTATGGCACATTTTCTCATCACAAAACCCTTTTTCAACCCAATCACCCCAGCTAACCCTCAAACACAACTTTAAGTTGGTAAAACCTCACACACCCAGTCTGTTTGTCCAGACTGGGGATTATCTTTACACATTCAAACGTTGCCTAAAGGAGAAAGAAAAATAAAGCATTTGAAGCCGAACAGTGTGCAGCACCACACTGAAACACATCAACAACTCCTGGATGGACTGTCATGATGTCCCGTAGTCCATACGCATGAAGCTCCGGCGTAAGTTCAGTCAGGAAGACTTTACTCTTGCCCGTAGTTTATTTATCTCGTACATCTGCCAGTCACTCCTCTCGCATGCTCACTCACTATTTCCTTGCTGTCAGTGTTCGGAGCTGTCAATCATGATATCAGCTGTTTAGATCAGCTAGTCTCTTCCATCTAATTGCACAACGAAACAATTACATCTATCATCCTGCTGCTGTCTCTGTTTGAACATGATTGTTTCCTCTACCTTCACTATGTTCATGCTGCTGTTACGCACCCCTCCACCTCCACATCTCCGCCCAGTCTTCACAGATCCATCAGCTTCATCAACTCATCATTCTGTCACCACCACCACCACCACCACCAGTGGTCTGGACTCCACGGGGGTGGGGGGGGCGTCTGCTCAGGACAGACACCCCTCGATTACAAATGTCCCTGTAGAGTCCAAGCGCTAAAGACTCTGTCAAGACTTTATCATCACATATCATCTGTTAATAATAAACAATTATCTTTTCTTTATCTGACTTGTCTCTCCTGATCGAAATAACAGTTGTTTATGGGGTTGATGAATGTATTTTAAAAAGGACTGAACTGCCTCAAAGTAAAAAGAATATGTCGAAAGTAAGGTCTGAGCTCCAGAGGAACTAGAGTTTGAACAGAAAGAGGACTTAGGTCCCATCAGAGCTGAAGTGGACCAGAAACAGAACCAGTTTTTGCTTGTCCCCGTTTAGGTCCACTTTAAGAGGACTGGGTGTGGTTTATTGAAGAAGGACTGGCATTTAAACCCCTAAACCACCAGGACACCCCAATATTATAATCATTAATAATAGTAATAACTGTCAGCTCGAGAACTACTTCACATTCTACTTTTGAGACTACGTCAGCGGAACTTTACCTCAGAATAAATATATCTTGAGGATTCTTTTTTTCAGGATTTCTTTGTTTTATTAATTCATCTTAAATTGTATTTAACTAGTTCATAAACTGGGTGGTCTGTGTAGACGGAGTCAGATGTAGTAAGACAATCCCTTTGAGACAGCAACCAGGGGGATGTAACCAAAAGCACCGAAAGCTGACTTGACAGTGAGTTAAAGTTAATCGTGCAATGCATCGAGCTGTTTGTCTGTGGCCATTCATCATCGGCCTTCTGTCCACATCTCTTTGTTCAGCCTCACACTGAAGCTTTAAGCCCTCTGTGGTGCTATAATCAGGGGAAGCCGTCAACACGATGAAAGCTGCAGCAGCTATCAAAGCTGAGTTCAGAGCTCGATACAGATGCAAATCAAATACATAAAATCTCTGCCTTTGAGGCATTAGACCCAGTGTGTCACTTAATATTCAATTAACCAAGGTCATCAAAAAGTTGTATCAATTAAACACAGGAAACTTCAGTGAATATTAATGCATTTATGAATTAGACGGGTACATGTAAGATCCAAACTAGAGTTGTTCTGATACCAGTATCGTGAATTCCTCCGACACAACATGAAATGCTGGATTGGGTATCGACGAGTGCACCGATCAGACATCGTGTTATCATATCAAATATCAGCTCATCTCTGCTACACAGGAACAACAACAACACGAGTCACTCGCTACTCAATCCGTACATCCTGTCTGATGCAAAACTAGAACACACCTGTGATTCTCATGTAGCCTATTTTTTCCCTCAACGCTTATGAAGCACATCGGCAGGTGAAAATAGCAGGTGGAGAGCTTTTTTATTTATTTATTCAAAGCAAATATTCTCTCCCCCCCCCCCCTCTCTCTATATATATATATATATATATACATATATCTAATAATTTTGTTTATATTTTACTTTTCCCTTATTACATTTTTTTCTACAATAATGTAGTTTAAAATTGATATGAGTTTATTGCCAGTATACCAATACCAGACAGAAATACCCTCATGTTGAAACTAATTTCATTTCTCATTTACTTGTTCCATTAATTTCCAACACCTCAGGGTTTCCACAGGTTTGACTCTCACATATACGTCTAATTGGATGTATGCTTAATGAGTGTGTATGTCCTCCCTCAGCTGTGGTAGTGTCTTTCTGTCAACAGTAAAAATGTGGCGCTGTGTGCGCTGCATGTGTGACCTGCCCTCTCGTAATCAGCATTCCGTTACATTATTCATTCTTTTTCTTTTAAATAAAAGACTATTGACATTTCAGAGAGAGCAGATGGGAGAGATCGGGAGGGGTGCGACTGAACCATTAGTCCGTTCATCCAGCCCTCATCCAGCCCTCATCCCACCCCCTTCGCACCCGACGTCACCGCAGTAAATAGGCTACGGAGGGGTCCGGCTGTAAATCCTCCACTTGCGCTCCGAGCGGCTGGCTGAGCGCATCCTGGAACACATGAAGCGCAACGCGGCGACGCACATGAAACCGGACTGATACTGAACCCAGAAAGCGGGACGTATCGTGCCTTTTTCCCTTTTTGACATGCTCTTGTCCGTGTGTTTTATTTCTCTTTGTTCTACGTTATTTCGAGGAAAGTGGACCTTTTTTTTTACTTTCCCCCGTCTGTCGCCAGCTTGATTTTAATTAAACCAAGGTAAGACAAGTTTATTAGCTTAATTTGGTGTCAACACAGTGCATATTCAGCTGTGAAATTAATTTAAAAAAAGTTTAAATCGGACCACAGCTCGTTATCACAGGCCATCAAGGCACAGAGCTTTCAGGACAGTAACTCAGTTAAGGTGTGCGCTCGTCCTATTCTCCATCCCGCTCTCTGTCCAGACAGTTTTATCCGCTTTGATGCACTGACGCTCCACACAGAGTACTATTTGTCCAGGACTGGTCAGTCATGCGCGTTTTTGTGCACAGTCAGCTCCCTCAAGTTTCCATCATGTGCTGAAATCGGACGTGCAAAGTTCCCGACAGAGGAGAACTATCAGAAGCAACAATCAGCCCTGGGTGGGGGGGCGTGTAAAGTGCAGCGACTGCTATACGCGCGCAATATACATTACTCCTCCGGCGCATGTCCGTATAGAAGTGAATCAATAAAATCATTGTTTGTGCGCCGACTGAGAGGCAGCTCATATCGGTTATTGGAGTCTGTGCGTAAAGCTGGCTGAGGGGAGTCTGGGGGCATGATGAAGTAGAAAATACTGAATTACTCATCTCACCGTTTCTTTTGATAAAACATGTTTCTCGACCTTGAGTGAGATTTGAATATATATATGCCATCTAAACAACCTCTGGTCTCTCTGACCCTAGCCGTTTCTATTATATTACACTTGTGCACAGTGAAGATCTAGGGGAAAAAAAACATGCATCTATGCTGTAATAGCAGTGGTTATTTTCTTAAATGCAGCAAAGAAAAAAATGACTGAAATATCAAACATAACCACACTGCAGTGTAAAATAAGGAAACTACGAGGTGAAATGGGAGTGGGATGAATATTGTAGAGGGCTCGTGAACCTGCACATTCTGGAATTTGCCTGCTGTCTCCCCTTCTTTGCAGATAAGTTTGACGTGCATTTGAAGCTTGCACTTTTATTCTTCAATTCTCAAAGGTGAACATCATCTTAGGCAGATCTGGAAAGTGTAAACCTAAAGCCCTGCTGTAGCTACTGTAAGCTGGCAATAATAGTTAGACTGAAGTAGCGTGATGACATCATGAGATAACAAAAAGCTTGCAGTTGTAAGATTTAGTCAATATAGGTTCTTTGCAGATGACGTCACACGTCGGCGTGCTCTCCAGATGGAGGGTAGGCAGCTGGAGGCAGGTTCAATACTGCAGCAATAATGCAGGTGGTTTGCGCTGTTTACGGCTGTTCTAACTGATCAAATTGGGGGGGAAACAAGGGCTTCTTTTACCGAAAATAGTTGTACACAAAGGTGAGAAGTTTAAAAAAGTCACAGAGAAACGGCGACAGACATGGTTCAAAAACCTCCGTCTATGGTTCAATGCTACTTTGGTTTCGAGGTCGTGGACCCAACCGCTCACAAAATAGTTGTAAGCATTTAGACTCTTGTACGCCTTCATTAGGCAAACCTTGTAGGAGGTCTGGAGCCTCCATCTGAATTTCGCACGTAATAACAGTCACGTGATTGCAAAAGTCTCTCAGGCCTGCAATTAAAATGATGCGAGTGATGTTTAACTAACGATGTTGTGATTAGTTTGAGTCCTTAAGTGTTTATTCTCCACAGGTAATTGGGTGTAATTCGAACAGCAAATTTCAATAACATAAAATGTCATACTGTATGTGTAATATTTTGCATTACATGGTTTCAGTGGACCATTACATTTTTTGCATATTAAGATAGCTAGGTCAACTACTGCGTACTATTTCTGCATCTTGCAATAATCTGACATATGACGATATGCTGATAAACGAGTCCAATGCAGCGCTCACACCGCATAAAACCTACCGGGGCTACATTACACCACTTCTCTCAGAACAATGAGAGCAAAACAGCATAAACTAACTGTTGAAACCAAATATTCTCTGGTCTATCTATTTTCTATCCGCATATCTGTTGCCGAGTCGACGGGGTGGCAGGCTTAGTAGAGTATTCCAGATGTCTCTCTTTCCAGCAACATTTCCAGCTCTTCCTGGGGAACCCTGAGGTGTTCCCAGGCCAGACCAGATATATAATCCCTTCAGTGTGTTCTGGGCCTACCCCGAGGCCTCTTACCAGGAGGGCATCCAGGGTGCATCCTGATCAGATGCCCAAAACCACCTCAGCTGGCCCCTTTTGATGCAAACCGCCCCAGTGCGCGCTGGAGGTCACGTTCCGCAGGAGCCAACAGAACCACATTATCTGAAAAAAGAGCCGAGACGCAATTCTGAGGTCCCAAAACCGGACACTCTCCTCCCCCCAGCTGCACCTTTAAATCCTGTCCATGAAAACCCCAAACAGGATTGGTGACAAGTGCTTGTTCTGCCCTCGTTACCAACAGTACCACCCATAGGACTTTCTAAGGAATACAGTCGTAAGCCTTCTTCAAGTCTACAAAACACATTTAGACTGGATGAGCAAACTCCAATGACCACTTTAACAGACCTGCAAGGTAAAGAGCTGGTCCACTGGTCCACCACCAGGATGAAAACGACATTGTTCCGCTTTGATGTGAGGATCAACAATCATTCCGAGCCTTCTTTTTCAGCACCCTGGAAAAAAAATTCCCCGGGGAGGCGGAGAGGTGGGATACCTCAATAAATGGAGCACAAGCTATGGTCCCCCTTGTTAAAAATGGGAAGCACCACCCTCGTCTGCGGTCTCCACAGACACTAGCCCCGACCACCCACGACACTGAAGCCAAGACAACCCAACAATGTCCAGAGCCTTCAGCATCTCAGGGCGAATCTCATCCACCCCCGGCGCCTTGCCTCTGAGGAGCTTTTTGACTACTGCAGCGACCTCTGTCGGGGATATGGATATGGGTGGGTCTTGTTTTCACACCGAACCTCTTTGGTTAACAGTAAGCACAAAGCAATTTACCAACCGGGAGGTTCATCAGTCAGTGACTCTGAGCCAAACTCCAGAAAATAGCTTGAGGCATTTCTGTTGGTCAGTCAGAACAGGTGACAGCGGTAATAAAGAAGAATTTTATAGAACAAACATTTGCAAAGCCCAAATATGTTTTCTATCTATTGCTCACAAGCATTGCCACAGAAGTGAGTGATACCGTAAAAATATCATATTTTTAAAGCAGGATCACGATCCATAATCTTATCACAACTCTTTTTCATGTTAGTTTTTAAGACTGTTTTGCAGGTAATTGGAACAAAAGTACAACGTTTTACAACATTTTCCTGAATATTTAGACCTACAAAGGAAACAAAACACTACTCCAAAATCCGTTCTCAAGTAAATATACATCCGTTGCTTTTCCAAATATTTATCAGTTAGTTTTCAGAATCCAAATGAACCCATAAATTAGATCCACATCTGGTCATCCGCTGGTCATCCTTTCTTTCATAACTTTCCTTGTGCACCTTTTGGCTTTACCTAAATATGACCTAATATGGTGAGACATGTGCAAGTTGTGCAGTTCTTGGCTCAACTCGATGTTATCTAGTATGATGACGCCATCATCATTTCTGGGAGCGGAGGATTACATGACGGTGGAGCCTTGAACTCCCGAAAGATGCGTGTTGTTTGCAAGTGTGGATGAGACATGAGGCCATAACATATGATGATACTGTATGCATGACATGCATTAATACTTCCATAGTTGTAGTCACATTACTGAAAGGAATTGTAGACTAAAGTACGAGGTTTTCTTAGATTTTTCTACACATAGGACAATTTGAATGCTTGACGGTGCATATTTTTGATGATCAATTATTGTCAAACATGTGAAAAGTTACCAGACCTCAAGATAACATTGTGAAATGAGGTGTTTTATCCCAAATAAACAGGCACATATCACCATGAAACTTCCCCAATTGGTTAATTACATTAAGTTTTTACAGAGGGGATATTGGAGGTCTATTAGTATCACTCCATAATTCAGAAAATACTATCAATAGCCGTGAAAAAAAAACCGTTGGCATTATTTTAGGAATGAAATGTTCTGTTAGTTAGTCTACGAATGATATACGAACAACGCCTCTGCAAAAACCTTCAGAATGTAGATCGGAATGAAAGTGGAGAGTTTGGAGCATGAAAGAGCTCCTGAATGACAAAGAAAACTCATTCACAGAAAACAGCCTTTAAAGGTACGTTTTGTTAATTACATACATTTTGAAGACACTACAGGTAAATAAAAAATAAATTAACTAATAGATATCACCATGAAACTTCCACAGTGGATTACTTACATGAAGACAATTATTTGTCTGTATTACAAGTTTTCTGAAATGATACATTTAAATATGCAAAGGAGGCATTATCTAATGGTAACTCTTGGGGAATTTAAGGGAAATCTACAGACGCAAATAGACAAAGTAGGAAAATAAACAGCTTAATGTGGTTTTTATATGTTTTCTTTCCTCTAGTCTGAAAGAAGACATTTTGTGGAACCCAAAATCAAAAAAAATAATAAATAATGTTTTTGCCTAAATTACCTAAAAGATTAATCAATTACCAAAATTGAATTCTATGTATCAACTTATGTCGATCAATTAATTGACTTTTCTGTTATTTGTTTAAGTCATGTCTTTCGCGTAAAGTTGACCTTTTTCTGACTTCTCAATTGGAAGGATTTGTTGTTTTATCGTATGTGATCATAAACTAAATATCTTTGGAGAAAACAAGAATTTGAAGTCGTCAACTAAGGGCAGATTAATCGGTGATGAAAATAATTTCCACAGTAAACATCAGGTTTTTGGTGACAAACCATCAGAACCAAAAGAACTTCCCTCAAATCTCACCACTTTGCATCGACATTCAACAATCAGCAGAAAGAAATTAAAAGAGAAGCTGCAGCAGAAAGACTACATGCACCACAAGCCCTTCTCTTTGTTTGAGGATCTGTCGTTTACTTCGGCATTGTTCTCTCTCTCTCCTTCCAGCTCACTCTTTTATTGTTACTGCTCTCTCTTCACCCGCACATATGCAGCAAGCGACTGAAGCCCCCTCTCTGAGGGTTGTTTAAAGTCATTTTGTGGAGTTTAGAAAATCACAATGCTAAGTAGAAGTAGCTGAGGGCGGCAGAGGGTAAGTAGAAACGCCAATAGCACTCCATCTTGAAACACAGTCACGTCTGAAATACACTGAATCGAATTGACGGTGGAGCAGACGGAGCAATGCTTCATCTTAATCGTTGCTCTTTTCTCAACTTCATCATTAAAGTTCAAAAGGTTGAATTCATTTCATGCCTCTTTTTAGCTGTCCTCTGAACTGTCACTTTTTTTTAAAAGACAGTTGACTTTCTACCCCCCCGAACACATTATTAAAGAACTTGTCAAATTGTCAGCGACCTTACCGGGTGCTTGAGCGCTTAACATATGCCGTCGACATGTTAATGTCCTGAGACATACGGTACGTTTACAGAAGACATGTGTGAGGAGGTGAAGCCGTGTCTGATCTGCATATAAGCTCTGGTGATACGATGAATCATGCACGCTCTTCATATAAATAGGCACAATGGGACTATGCCATACATGTACTGTGACTAGAATTAGCTGCACTACTGAATATTTTAATTCCAATATTGGCAATGGCAACATGTAATGTCAAAGGATTTACCCATGTTGAGTTATCTCCCAACTCTGCCGTTTTTCAACCAGCTGTTTTTCAGTGAAAATGCTCTGATAAAGCCACCGTACACTACCTGCCTCAAATTGACGAAGTTGGGAACTACCACGTAAATATGGAGGACAATATAACAGATAAAGAGAGTAGTTGGCGTAAACTAGAGCTGAAAGAAAGTGCGTGTTGGACTTTAAATTCATGTTGTTAAAGTAAAATGATTCACCACGAAGTCTTCTTTCACTTTTCAGGTTTAAAATGAACGAAGAACCTGAGAACAACTTGACTCAACTGTCTGACAACTGGACATTTTACAACTCCTCGCTGGAACCCGTCATACGCAGGAGCAACATCACCTATGTTGGATTTTACCTGCATCAGCCGTCCACAGCAGCCATCTTCATCGTGTCCTACATGCTGATCTTCCTCGTGTGCATGGTGGGAAATGGAGTGGTGTGTTTCATTGTGATGCGGAGCAAAAACATGCGGACTGTCACCAATTTGTTCATCTTAAACCTTGCTGTGAGCGACCTCCTGGTTGGGATTTTCTGCATGCCCACAACACTTCTGGACAACATAATTACAGGTGAGCAGCACAGTCATTTGAAACTTTCATTGTGGTGTTGTTGTGTCAAAACAAACAAGGACAGCCTCGCTGGCTGTGTTGTCGTCAGACAGGAAGTTGTTTCAACACTTTCCAAACTTAAATATATCAACAACTTTTCAATGGATGGCTGTGACATTTGGAAGAGGCATTCATGGTCTCCAGAGGATGGACCGTATAATCTAGTGTCATCAACAGGTCAACATTTCAAACATTTTTGACAAGTTGGGAGTTAGAATGAGTTGTGTTCCTATTTGGAACATGTTAGCACAACAGACTTGAAAGGCAACTTTGTCTAAGAACAGTTGAAGCTTACAAAGTACAACTGAGGTTCATGGTTGTTGAAGTAAATGTGAAAAAGTCAAGTTTTGACTGATGAAAGTCAAGCCAAGTTTGACGAAATAGAGCTGTGCCTGATGAGTCGAAGATATCCTAAAAATGGCTACTGTACGGAGAATAAACCATTTCATTTTCCACTGTTACCAACCTCATGTTCATCCACCTTTCCTCCATCCAACATTCAGCTTTTTGGTGTGTCACGAAGCATCACAGCTTCACAGGGCCGCTAGCCCTGTCAATCCTTTGATTAACCTCGTTCCCTAACCACCAATGTTATTGAATTCTCTGCAGGGCTGCCTTATTTTTTTCAGTTGAGACTTTAATTATTACAGACTACCAAGAGATACTTGGAGGCCATCCCATGCAACATGACCCTCGAGGATTGTCTTCTTATCAGCCTGAGGTGATCAAAAGTGACGAAGGCTCAGGGGAGTTGAAATAGTGATTTGTCGTGGAGGAGTCGGACAGACTCGGCTTTTTACACATTGTGCCGATTGGACTTGACAGTTTGCTCTTGATGACACAAATCCCACAGGGGCAATCGACGGTGGATTCTTCATATACTACAGGCTGTCGACAGATGCTGAAATGACTTCATCTTTTCAGTTTTAAAACAATAAAATAAAAGACATAATAATTCAGGAGGATCCAAGTTTCCTCTCAACTGACTAAAATACAGACCACCGCTTTTTCAGAGGACAATAGAGTTTTTGAAAGGAGCTTGATTTGGATCGTACTCAGTGTGAAAATACCAACAAAATAAAGCCTTCAAGCATGTCTCTGTTGTCACCATAAAGTGAATTAAATAATAGAAGAATTAGCGTTGATTACAGTGACTGTGGGTCAACTAAATTGCCTTATTCAGCTCCAGAGATTATTTTATAGTGGGTACTATGATAAAATAGCAAATACTACAAACAATAACAGACATATTGCCTCTTAACAAGAGCAGCCAGTCATCATTGTCTGAATCAGGAACACATCAGACCCTGACATTGAGTTTGGGTTAATCCAGCTGGCAGATTGCTTGGCGTGATTAAATCCCTGCTAAAATGACATAACTCAGAATCAAATCCTGAAATATCACGGACAGCTTGCAGCTACCAGAAGTAAACAAGAATGACAGCTTATTAGCTTTGCATTAGATAATCACATTTAAAATCAAGCAAAGTTTTATAAAAATCTCTTTGGCAGAGAGCAAGAAGACGCCAGTGAACAACATCCGCTCCAGTGCAAACAGGATCACGCTCTCCATTTTAGTTTTCACCTGCAAATAACTGGTGTCTTCTGAGGTGTGGAGTGAACTCACGCTATGATCCAGGAGTGTGGAAATGGAAACGGCTTCAGTGAAACCTTCAGTAGAGTTCCATCATGTTCGTTCATATCTGACTGGTTCAGAAACAGATTAGTGGGCGAGCGCTGAAATCTCCCCCTACTGAGCACAACATTAAATTCTCTGTGAATCGTGAGTGTATGCCAACCATTTAGGTTGCGGTTTATATACAGGTCTGTCCCCTGTCACTTCATCATTTTATGCTGTTAAGACACGTGTCGGAAATTGTCATAATTAGCATATGAATTCTTGAATTATGGCCAAAAATGTGTTTTGTGAGGTCACAGTGACCTTTAACCACCAAATTCTAGAAAGTTCAACATTAACTCATTTGTGCCACATTGAAGAAACTTCCTCTCGGCTTTCCTGAGATATCGTGTTCATGACAATGGAACGGACTTCAGGTCACAGTGACCTTTCACCATCAAAATCTTATCAGTCTTATCTCTGAGTCCAGTTGGATGTTTGTGCCATATTTGAAGCAATTCCCTCCAGGCGTTCTTGATATATTGCTTTCAAGAGAAAGGGACATTCAACCCGAAATCACAATGCCTTCGGCCACAGCCGATGCTGGCATGGAGGCATAACAGCATCAATAATGCATGCTTTACAATGTGTCCAGCAAGAGACCTTCAAAGAGATGCTTTTTTTGTGATTTTGAATTCTGTTGCACCATCTCAAGATTTATCAGATCAGGAATGAGTAGACATGAAATTCAGGGTATATTGTTTGGTAAAAAATGTGTCTGACATTCACAGAGTAAACTATTTAGAAATTCAGTCTTTTCTTCTGTTCCTGATGTCAGCACATAACCATAAAGTAATCATTTTGAGAGCCAGCAATGGGGCAAAACAAATCCTGCGGGTGGTGCTCGAGGGAAGGGCATGGGGTCATTAAAAACAAAAGGGATTATTCCCTTGGGGAGTATTTATATGCCAAGTAGATTTTTGCCGATTTGATAATGAGCTATTTTGTGTGCAAAGTTGACATTGAAGGAGAACTCACTGAGTATCTGACATGTAAATGTTCATCCCCTGGGGAGCATGAGAGTGCATATGAATTTCATGTAATCTGCCTTTTAGATTTGACATTTCCTTGACCTGGACGGATATATAGAGAGTTCAGCAAAAACATGAGCTTAGCCATGAGCGACAATGCAAATGTCACTGATTTCTGCTCTTTAGCTTTCAAGATTCTTTCTCCTCCCGAGACAAATGACAGTATGAGTTAGTGGTGAAACAAAACTGTCCCCCCTTTACTGCCAATCACTATTGGTCAATATTCACTAAAAATATGTGAACAGGAGATCGGGTTATAATGCACTCTAGTTGCCGATCCCTGATAATGTTACATTGTGAACAACAAATCTGTGTTGAAATAGTCAAAAATCCGAATCGGCTCAACGGCTGTTGGTAGCAAAACAAACCCCTAACCAAACCTTAACTACAGGGGTAGCAGACCAGAGAAGTGTTGTGTTGGTCAGGGGGTAATTTTGATTCTGTTGGTGATGTCAAAGGATCGTCTGTGGCCGATGCAACTGTTCGTCATGACTCGCATCAAAAGACTCGTCAGCTTAGGAACAAACAATCAGAAAAGCATCGATCTGGAGAGAAGTGTAAAAACGTTTCCTGAAGCAGTGGGATTTTGTAACAGCTCTGTAGGCTTCCTCAGGAAGACATCTGAAATATGTTTTTATTTGATTAGGGTTGATCTGACAACTATATTTTTGTGAACGCTGCATGCTGATAGCCAGTATTGTGCTGATTTTTGCTCCTCTACTCCATCTCTTCTTCACAAGGTTCAACAAAACAGACGCCAACAACGGAAATCATTTAGAATTGATTGTTTGTGTTTACAAGTTGCTTAAAATTGAGGTTGTACCTAACAGAACATTTTTTTAATGAGAATCAACAATAGGGGGAAACAAATACTTTGTGTAACCTGCAGCTCTGCCATCTTTGCTACTCTACACTTTTCTCTTGCAAAAGGGCACTGAAAGAAATAGTGTCTTCGGTCCGACACTACAAGATGCTTTCAATTGCTTCTTTGAGTGAAATGCACCTCCAATTTCTTTGACATCCAGCTCATTTTGAGTCTCATAAGGAATACGGTCATGTAATGCACAGCATGACAAGCATAGCCCACAGCCAACCAGAAGCACCCCCCCCCCCCTCTTTTTGAAAATATGTATTTGTTCTTGTTGGCTTACTTGGATGTTTGAGCTTCACTGTTTCTCTATTCCCACCTTAAATTACAGTCTAAGGTGTTGAGAACATATGAGATGATTTTGAGACATCCGGTATGAACAAGTGTAATGTTGAAACTTGAAAAACGAGCAACGACGGAAAGGACGACCTTCCTCGCACATAAAAAAACCCTCTTTTGCAGTGAAGGGAGAGACTGCCGGAAGCACAGCAGTCAGACTTGCACTTCTCAAATCTCAGCAGAGTGGTAGAGAGAAAGCGATGCCTGCGAGGGTCAAGTCAAGTCAAGCTTTGCAGAATGGCAAAGCAAAGAGCAGATCTCATCACATCTACTAATACTTCTAGCAGGTGGCTTTGTGATGACTCGGGCTGCAATTAATGGCTATTTTGGTTATCAATTAATCCGGCTATTATTACTTTGGCTAAATAGCGTTAGCTGAGTTTGTGTCCTTTCTGACGGACAATTGCACAGTTACAGGTCGATCCATCACAAAAGGAAGAGAAAACAGACGGAGGGTATTTCTGTCCGTTCCATTTAAAAAGAAAATAACCTGTAATACTGCGTTTAGCTTTGCCCTTTTCTCCGCTGTATCATTAGTCTCTCTGCCTGCACCATGTATTAAAGGAGGCGGCATCATTTCCTATAATTCATCCAACGAGCTACACAAGGCGCAGCCTCGGCTGGCTTACTGCCCCCACCTCAGCAGATGCTGCCACAGCGCTAGCTGTGCATCACAGCATAGATCCAACTAATCAATGACGGAATCCGCTGCCAGCTGTTTTTATAATCCATTTAATCGATTACTTGTTGCAGCCATCATGATGACAGCCCTGTCAAATGTCATTAACTGTCTGAGTGTACAGTCGAATACTGCACACCAGTCAGAGGCACATGTGTTGGTCCGAAATACATTTTCTAGACCTTTCAGTGCATTTCAAATAAGCATTTCCAAAGAAGGTGTCAAATATCCTCTGGACATGTTTATCAGTGATTCGAAAGCGTGTGTGCCTCTGTCCCTGTGTGTGTCTGTGGTCTATGTTGTTGATGAAAACCCAAGACGACAGATCACTTACTCGGAGCATTATGTGCGTCAGTACAGTATGTCTGACGGGCTGCAGCCTCTTGTTTGGCCTCCGAGGGCTTTGATAAAACTGGACAACTAGCAATCTGCCATTGTCTCTCAAAGAAAGCTTTCATCTACTGCAACATTCAGATGTTTACGCCGCATAATGCTTTAATGGATCATAATGGGGGCTTTGTCATTTGCATTAATGCTTACTGGCCCATTTGTCAACAACGTGAAAGAAACATCACATGAGATAAAACAAACAATGTCACCCAAACATGTTCCACATATCATCTCAACAACAATCAATTTGCTTTTAAGGCTAATGTGGACAATGGGACTGCATTATCACACTTGCATAACTTCTGGATAACAAATAACAAGGTTAAAGTTTCATTTATCCTCCTTGTGCAACACAGGGTTGCACAACGAAATGCAGTTGTATCCCCATTGTGCTACATAACAAATACACAAATTCCCTCATAACATCCTTTGAACACATCTTGATTCTCTGATTGTTTTCTACCTCACTCATACAGTTAACAACCACTGCTATGAGATCTGGGGTGCTTTGCATCCCCAGTGAACCTTTCTCATGAAAGTGTATGACAACTAAGCACGAGTGCGGGGTTAACGAAGCCAGAGGTGATGACAGATGACAGTCTGCAGTCTGTGATTATTTTGAGTCAGCCACAATGAGATGCTCTGTCAGCATCTCTGCTACCAGCCACCAGCAGTCTGATAAAGTGCCACTAAAAAAGGGATTGTTCCCCTGAAACCCTTACAGATATGGTATTATGGCCACCCTTTCAGCTCCTATGTACTCTGTTTTGTGGGTGTGAGTCTGTGTGATGCAGTCCGATCTACACAAACTGCTGTTATTGCCGTAAATCAGCTGAATGCATCTTCCCTGTCAACAGGATGGCCTTTCGGAAGCCTGGTCTGCAAAATGAGCGGCATGGTTCAAGGGATCTCCGTGTCAGCATCCGTCTTCACTCTGGTTGCTATTGCTGTTGACAGGTACTGTGGCTGTGTTTTACTACTACTGCTACATAGAACAGTTCATGTCCTCTAAACAGCGCCTTTCACACTTCAGTTGCACCTCAAAGCAAAAATGCTTGAGGTGCAAAAGACAACAGACAAAAAGCAGAAACCACTCGAGGAACACCGACCTCCACAAAGGCTGAACAATCCCTTTCAATTATGTGACGACATATTCTCAACACAAGGTTCACTCACTGCTTTTATCCCGGAGCTTTCATCTGTATCTCACAGCCTTCTTCAGCCAATGGAAGATATGCTCCAGAAAAAGAGACTCTCAAGAAAATCAAGTCTGAACAAATGCAAACGGAGGATTCAAATGCTTCCTCCTCACATTACTTTGTGGTTTGGTCTCGAATTACCCGAAGCACGGGTTTCTTCACTTTGTGTTAGCAAAGAGAACAACAATTCCCAAGTGTACTGACAGCAACGAGCTTGCAATGGGACAGAGCATTTTATTACTTTTCTGAAAATATATAATGTAATAATCATAATTCAAATATTCAATTTTCTAGCTTTTAATCTACGACAGACTCCATCTCTGCATCACAATACTGCTGTTTTTAAAGTCCCCTGTTCTTCGGCCTTTCACATTATTTTCCATCACCTATCGAGGACTGTACAGCTTCTTCATCTCTATCTGGCCGCTTGTCCTCTTCTGAAAGATCAAACTGCTGTTCATGACGATGACACCAGCTGGCTCTTAATCCTGCTTAATGATGTCATAAACCATGGGATGAGGCTCACATTGGGGAAAAGGCAAACTACACATCCAGTGGAGTTATAACCGCTCTGGAAGCTGGAGAAAATGAGAGGGCTGGTATTTCATCATCGCCCGGCTGTCAGACAACAGTGACGTCACTCTGACACGTTCGAAATCACCGGAGGGTGTTTGCGCCTCTGGGAATGACAGAGTTTGAAATGCTTTGACGGCCAAAAGTCAAAGTCACCTTACGTGTCTGTCAGCCGTATAAAGATGTAGGATAAGGGGCTCTCTTATCTGCCCTGTTGACCAGTGTATTCATGCACAGACACGCCAGACAATACTCTACATTATTCAAAATACTATGTTGGGATGACAGAGGCAAAACAACAACAATCCCTCCTTTCCTCTGTTCTCCAACATCAACACCATTCAGAGATCGATCTGTCTGCATGCGTCTCTTCTCAAACTGTCACAAGAGTCTCTCTCAGTGAGACCTCGAGTCAATCCACATATAGCGGGTGTTTTACCTCCGTGTCTAAACTTTTGAAAATCACACCCATGCAGCTACTTCACAGTAAAAGCCTCCAGCTCTGCCAATAATTACACATTTTTTACAATGCCATAGAGACTAAGCAGGGACAATATCTAATCATGTACATTTATTTGACCAGCTACAACATTAAAAGGCTTCTGGTACAATCAATTATTAAATTATAACCCTATCATATCTTGTAAAATGTAGTTTTTGAATATACAGTATACAGTTGTTTGACGGAGAGGTTTTCACAGCAACTTATAATATACAGTATATTAGAGTGGATTTATGACTTGCTTATTAGCTCCAAGCAGCTTATAATACATCATTAAAACTACTAATGCTAATACCAGTTATAATCAAATTATGTATTTCCTTATTCAAATGGTGTGTTTTTATGCAAATAAGCCCTATAGATGACAATAAGAAGGTAGAAGGATGACATTTAAAATTTGACGGGTTACACTGACTTCAGGTTGGTTGGACTTATTTTTTGTTAATATTTGTCTGGATCCTTAAATGCCAGAAAGGTTTACAAGTTGCTTAAAACTGAGGTTGTACCTAACAGAACATTTTTTAAATGAGAATCAACAATAAAATACTTTGTGTAACCTGCAGCTCTGCCTTCTTTGCTACTCTACACTTTTCTCTTGCAAAAGTGCACTGAAAGAAATAGAGAAATAGGCACCGTAGTCTCACCGAAGATGCTCTCAATTGCTTCTTTGAATGAAATGCACCTCCAATTTGTTTTGACATCCAGCTCAATTTGAGTCTCAAAAGGAATACGGTCATCTAACGCACAGCATGACAAGAATAGCCCACAGCCAACCAGAAGCACGCCCCCCCCCCCCTCCTCCTTTTGAATGTAAAATGGAGCTTAAATACCCTGAATGGGTTTAGCATTGACAGATAATATAATTGATTGCAATTTAAGCAACAGGAATGTTGATTTTTCTCAAAAGGAAACCAATTTTTGTTGTTCCGTCATGTTTTCTCTTTTGCATATTTGCTATTGCTCCTTAATTAAGCAAAAGTATTTGTTAACGATTACTCACTTAATCGATGGAATAGTCAATAGAATACTGGATTACTAAATTACTGAACCCCAAATAGATGCAGACTCATTTTCCTGTGTTTCTGCATGAGGAGAGTGTCTTCAGATTTGGTGAAGCAGCGTCAACTCCATCTTTACCGATACATATACGGTGAAGTATAAGTCAATAGGTAAGATGCCTCAGACAACGGCTGGTGAGAAAAGATGGCGAAGAAGAAGGGCCGAGCCCCTTTGTGAGGGCTTCTGCAGTAGCATTTCCAGAATAAAACAAAAGAAAGAAAAGAAGAAGAGGATTGGCCAGAGGGGCACTGATGTGGTGGGTCACACTTGTTCTCAGCTCCGCAAAGTGACAGAAATAAAGAAAGATGGGTCTGACTTCAAAAGGAAAGCCAAAAAGCATATTAGTCACCACAACAGCTGTCCCAGCTTATAGAGGAGGAGAGGTCACCTGGGGAAACGCTGCTGATCATGCAGATGGAAATACACACAGAGCACACCTCTATAAGCTGAGTCGTAAATATCCAAATGTACAGTAGACTTCTGTGGCAATTTAAACAACATTTCAAATTGATCTCAAGTATGAAACAGACTCAAAAGAATCCACACTAGTAGGTCGAGATTCACAGTATATTTCCTTTGAAAGAAATTGCTGAATTGATGAACAAATGATGATATGCAGCTGTAAAGCAGAGGCACAGATATAGACACAGCTCTACGGATGCAAAACACTGCAATTATTTGTGCATTAAGTTTCAAGGCGTTACATAACCTGACATTTGTTTGCGAGTGCTTGGTGTGGTGTGTGACTCACAATGACGGGGAGCCGGGTTAATTATGTCCCCGTTGTTCTGAAATTGATCTGCGGTACAAAAGGAAAAAGGGAATTAAGCACAAAGAGTGACGTCAATGTTCTTTAATGAACACTGACTGACTCTACCACACACATCCAGTCGGTCGTACAGTATTTCTAATTCTCTAAATCTATTTCTGCTTTTGTTTGATTGTTTTTATTACTAAATATTGAGATCTATTCCATGTGAATAGAGAATAGAGTTTTCCCTTCATGAATTACAGTAACTCTAATCATATATATTGCTGTGCCAGCTTAAGTCAATGTTCTTTGCTGTCACTCAAAGATATTTTTAAAAGCAAGTTAAATAAGCGCATCTTCCTGATCCAACCCTTTTTGTTTTTGCAGATTCAGGTGCATCGTCTACCCATTCAAGCAAAAGCTGACCATCTCCACGGCCTCCTTGATAATAGTCATTATCTGGGTTCTGGCCATATCCATCATGTGTCCCTCTGGCGTGATGCTACAAGTGACCAGGGAGCAAACCATCCGGGTGCTACTGGGCTACGACAACAAAACGAGCCCGTTCTATTGGTGCAGGGAGAACTGGCCCAACCAGGAGATGAGGAAGGTTTACACCACCGTCCTGTTTGCGAATATCTACCTTGCTCCCCTCTCGCTCATCGTGATCATGTACGCCCAGATTGGCATTACGCTTTACAAAACGGCGGTTCCGACGGGAGGGAAGCCGGGCCACGCAAACCGCCACTGCGTGTCAAAGAAAAAGCAACGGGTGATCAAGATGCTCCTAATAGTCGCCTTGCTTTTCATCCTTTCCTGGCTCCCTCTGTGGACCCTCATGATGTTGAGCGACTATGCTAGCCTGACCGAGCAGCAGTACCGAATCATCAACATTTACATCTACCCCTTTGCCCACTGGCTAGCTTTCTTCAACAGCAGCGTCAACCCCATCATCTACGGTTTCTTCAACGAGAATTTCCGCAGAGGATTTCAAGCCGTGTTCAAGTTCAGCCTGTGCACGGCGGACGGACAGCGGAGGAAGAACTACTCGCACCGCCTGCAGGGCAACTCCGTGCTGCCCGCCAACAACGCACAAACGACCCTGGAGCCCATTTCTGTCAACAGCCCGGATAAGAACCCTTCCAGGCGACTCAACCACATCCCCGAGCACGACTTGGTCATGGAGGACCTGGACAAGGCGTCTGGCAGCAGCGGGGGTGTGACTGCGGTGTCTATTTGAGGAACATGCAGAGACGCTCTTCTGAGTGATAAGCAAAGGTGTTCGCGTTCAAGAACATCGCCACTCATCATTCAAACGTAATTCCTCCACTGAGCTCAAGTAATGTCTCACCCGAGTAGGTTTTTCTGAAGTGGACGTTTAAGGGTAGCTGGTCCGAGGCAGTTTGAACACTGTAAAAAAAAGACAAAAGTGGATAAAAGGACATGTAAAGCATTTACTCCGTTTCACTGTCCTGCAGCAAACTACCTCGCAGCGTTTGCTCCTGAAACAAAACAGTTAAATTGCCAATTTGAAGAGAGAACACTCACTTTGCTCATGAACCTTTCCATATCACCTTTAAGCCACACATTGTGTGTTGCACATGTTGTGCCGTGTTCAAAGTGGCAGCAGGTTGTGCTGTCGGAATTGTAGATACTAACCAAGAGAAAACAGTGTCGTTGGAAAGTGCATCACTTGTCGATCGGGATGGGTTGATATGTGATAACAAGCTACCGTCCTGCTCTATCACACACGTTGTACGACCTGTATAAATGTATAAAGATGCATCAAACATGTATGTGCTAGGATGGCTGCAGAGCACATTTCAAAAGTCAAAGCATGAATAATTTATAATTAAACGTGCTTGTATATTGGCGCATTAGATGGATTTGCATTTGTGTATTATTCAATACTATTAAAGTACTTCTAGACCTTGAATAGGAAAATCTCTGTGGCCTGTGAAACTGCTGAACAAGCTTAAAACAAGGCTGCAAAGTCAAAGGGCTGTGGCATCACATTGAAAGACTTCAACACAGCGACAGAAGTTGAAGATATCTTTTAGGTTTCTGTGGCTATGGTCATACAGCACAATGTTTCTTTAGACAGCGGTATTATATTTCAGAGAACAGTACTCGACTGGTGGACTTCAGCACTCAATTCCCACCTACCTCTGGAATGTACACTTTAAACTTAAACTTTGGCAGTGTCAGGGAGGAACTAGTTATGTGCAGCCGCATTACGTGATTCAATTACAAAATAAATGTAATTGTAATCCATTACAGTTACTGAGAAAATTCAACAATATTTTCCTTTTTGAAATCAGAAAGGAGCTCCAACATTTCTGTACAGTGTAAAGTTTTTTTACTCAATGTGGAAATGCTCGACGTCAGACCTGAGCAAACATCAAGCTCTACTGCCCAGTTAAAAACATCTGTTAGAAAAGTAATCCGTTGTTATAAGTTACATTCCTTTCATGAAGTAATTGAAATAGTTGCATTACTTATTAAATTGTAACTAGTAATCTGTAACCTATCATACTTTAGAAACTAGCCTTCCCAACACGCTAATTCAATTAAAGTAAATTATTGTACACCTTTTTGAGGCTCCTTTTATTATTATTCTGTATTTTTACTATTGAATAGTTGAATTTTACTGGGCCATTTTATTAATTCTTTACAAACTAAACTAAAATGTGAGGCGATGAACCCACTCTTTGCGTATGAAAGAGCTCAGATTATCAGTCCTTCTGAAGAGTGTGCCTGTGGTTTCCTCTCTTTGTTGAGGGATGAAACAGCATCTGGCTGGTAGGTTTTCACACAGATTTCTCATTAGCACTCACTAACTACTGGCTTTGACAGCATGCCAATGGACCAATGCTCATTATACTGATTAGGATGTTAATTATACTTTGGTGGGACGTTGGAGACCACCGGTAGCCCCTCTGCCAGTAGCACTGCTGCTGCTGGTGATTCGGAAAATTCGGGCCACATGTCTCAGGTTCCGTTGACAAAGAAAATGCCTTTGAACAAACGCTCTTTTTCTCTGAAATTTTTTCAGTAAATTTAAAATAAAATTTAGTTCAACTGAAGAAATATGCAGAATCAAGAGTTACATTTGTGAGTCGACTTACAACAAACCTGTAAGGCTGCGCCAATCTCATCCACCCTTTTGTGGCCATTTTTCCGTCGATTGCGTCTCCAGTCTGGGAAAACAGACATCAATTAGTACGACAGACCTATTTGAAACGCCCGAACGACACTTTACTTAAGAAGCTGTTACTTGACACAGAAACGCCCGAATGAGCCTTTAATTATGAAGCCGTTACTTGACACAGAAATGGAAAGAGACAATTCTGCAGCGGATGCACACATTGACACCGTTATATTTGATCGTTTTTAAATTGGACATGAAAACCCTTTTTGTACAGCGGAGAGAAGAAAAGGATTTATTACGATTGTATGCACGCCATCTACTTAAACAAATCATCCAGGCTTTTATTCTGAAATCTGCTCTGTAAACATGTACATAGAAAGGTGTAATGATGCTGAATTTATTTATTCATGATTATCTCATGAGCCCATTACGAATGTGCCATGTTAATCTCAGATGAAGTGTTTTGCTGTTATTTTATTTTTATCTCTATGAACAGTCTTGTACAGTAAATGGGCAAAAAAACCCAGTGAGCCTGAAAACATATATCGTCTGCTGTAAGTATGTTACTGAGTCTTAGATTACAAGTGATACTGTGAATCTGTGTGAACTGACTATTCTGACAATTGAACAACCTTGGTTTCAAAGGTGTTTTACGAACTTTAAATCTCTACTGTTGGTGGCGTCTGTTTTTAAAGGGGCCCATTATAGCCGAGATGTAAAAAACTGTAAAAGAAAAACAGACAAACTCATAAAAGACTGAAGGTTACAAAAAAGCTAGAAGTGACATGGTACTCTCTGGCGGCCATATTGGAGGTCCTGAGCTCTTCTAGCTGTACAATGGCAGTCCAGCGATCCGGCCCTCGTCATCAGAACCTTTAAACACAGGTTCTGATGAATACACTTAAACCCAATTAGAGGAAACAAATCAGCTGTTCAGAGCAGAAGCAACATGATGTTTTTTAGTGGAAATCTGCTACATGAGCAGGAAAGAGCCTCAGGAAGCTTCACTTCATCTGGAGTACGGGAGTAGAAACTCAGATGAACTGATTGTGGTGGGAGACATTTGAATTACATTTTGTTGGATTCTTCTAATTCATTGTGGGATTACCAGCGTACCAGAGTCTTAAATCAGTGCCAATTTAGATAGAAAATCCCTCACGTGTTGACAGTATAGTGTGATAATGATGCACATTTTACTGACAATGTGAGCATTTCATTTCTACTATTGCATCTGCAAAACCCTGCACATAAATGATAGACATATATATGCTTCACTTCACTGTACACTTGAAACGTTTCAGAAGAACATCTCTTCTTGATGAGCCACATTCTGCTGACATTCTTCACGTTTTACAAGCTGAGGCTCGTGTAGATGTGCTGATAACTCTCGGCTGTACTTGATTAGTACCATCTTAGCTGCTTCTACATTTCTCTGTGATCGATTATTATAAATGTCGACAAAGCCGATCTCACAGCACAGCTGGCGTCATAAAGATCTGTTTTTGTTTGGCTATTATAAAATAATGATTTTATCTGCAGCTCAGCAGCTTGATGACTGCTGGTCAACATAGACCATTTATAGACTCCTTCCATTATCTGACAACAGAAAAAAATATGCAAATGAAAACAACTATATGGTGAATATGACTGCATTAAAACACAGTGTAAGAGGGAACTCACTCCCTCGCTTTTCTCCATCTGTGTCTCGAACTACAAACACGAGGAACAAACTGTACTGTGCATGTGAGAAGACAAAGTCAGAAACTACTTAAATGTATTCTTAATAATTCATTTTAAGTCAATTGCCAGTAAATACGAGCATTTCTATACGTTCACAAGTGAATGTAAGGCTGTGACGGAGCCGATGAAGCCGGATGCTGCGCACGTTGGCCGTTAGTCTGCTTGTTTGAGGTGTGAAAGGTCAGAAGTAAAGCCTTACCAGAAGAGTTGAGCTGTTTGTGCAGCTGAGAGTGGTTCTACACCGAAATAACTGCGATTGCAGCCAAGTATAACGCAGCAGGACTTTGAGTTCGCTGGTGGAGGCTTTTTTCCCCCCACCGAAGGGCTGCAGGCCTCAGACAGTTTAGCTCCTGTGTGACATGACACTTGCTGAGGTAAAATGCCGTCACATGAAACTCATCGGAGGCTCACGAGTTGCGTTATGAATTGCCGGACCAAGTTAGTCTCAATGCTTAGAAATATTTGTGCATTTGAAAAAAACGCCACAGGGATCACGAAACAAGACATTACGACATGGGACCTCCAAGGTGGCACCAGACATGGTTGCTAAGAGTTTTCTAACAGTCCTTTAGTCTCTATATTGTACTCGCACCGTTGTTCTTTGTGCTCATCATAACTCATTCTGCCGCTTTTTGTTTTGTTACTGCATCCAGCATCCAGCAGCGAGACATTGACCTCCCCAGTGAAAAGGCTTCATGTCTCCTATTCAGGTTTGGCTTTTTGATGTGTGAACACGCGCCGCAAGGAGCCCCCCCTTTGTGACGCCGATTTGACCCCCTTTTTGAAGAGCCAATTCACATTTCCTCACTGAATAGCGCTGCTGACTTGGGGTCAGTGTTATATGGAAACGCTGAGTGCATCTGTGAGTGTTGTGACGTCTACTGCAAAGCATCGAGGCCCACAGGTCACGGCTGGGATGCAATAGCATGTAATTGAGTCTGAATTCTTTCTGAATCCACTGAATGTAGTTTGGATTAGCATCATGACATTTTAAGCAGTTTAGCTTGAGCAATCTGTGTATTTTACCAGCTCAGAAACAGGATCCCAAGTGGGACCACCAATCAGAAATCCAACTTCTTTTATAAGCCTCATTAAGGAATGAGCAACAGCGTAAAAAACCCCAGTAGATCATGTTGGTTTGTTCCCCTTTTAGCCCCACAGCTATGTCTGGGTAATATTAGATATCGATACAAATATCCCCAATACTTGGGGGGTTTGATCGTGTCATGTTGACATTTGTGGAAATGTCAACATGTTGTCACCCTTTTATTCCACTTTTAACAATATGTGCCAGAACTGCTTAATGCAATTAACTTTGCCAATACAGAAATATAGTCTTAAGTTTACTGATTTAGATCATCTGATAAAATGATCAAGATTAAGATCAATCATTAGTTGCCAACACCTTTTGAGACTTAAGGCCTCCTATGGTATTGAGGTTCAACACCCAGCTCTACTCACAGCTTCTAATTCAACATTTCATACTATACAGTAAAACAAAGATACAAACACATTTCTGTTGGTTTGTTTTCAGTCTGCAGCTGTTTTGAGTAACTATTTGCATTCATTCCTGCCAGAGATGTCAGGTGTGTCCACAATCATTCAACAACACCTCTGGACTCTTGTTGGCATTCAAAGCATTGCTCGTGAGTGATTTGGCACAAACAAGATGTTAAATGTGACACTCCAGTAATATTGAATGTAATGAATTTGTACTTTTTGGTGCCTGTGGTGAAAAAAACCTCTCTCTGCTTCAATTTTTTTTATTTTTTTCAACCAAGTATGGACTGATTACTGTGAACTTCCTTTTGGGGATCTAGAGACTCTTGGTACCTCTGTGTAGTCTGCATGCGTATATCTTGTGTACTAGCATGTGGGGTTTTTGTGTCTGCAACTACACGTTCTTAAATAATGTTCAATGGAAATTTTAAAGATTTATTTGTTGGGACACAAAGGCTGATTGCTGTTGAAACAGGAAGGAAGATCGAAGGTTGCTTTTATAGAAGGAAAGGTAGTAAATGGTGTCCTATTTAATTGTGAAGGGCTATTCATCACGTTTTATATTACCTCTGATTGTCTGCAAAAGAATATATAACTGCAAGGTTCATAATCAAGGTTCTGAGTATGAAAAAAGGCTTGTGAATGCCACTGCCATAACTTCATTTTCACATAATCTGATGTCATTTGCTTTATTTGAATGGGATTGAGAATTGAACTCGACGATGTAGCTGCTGTGCCTCTGGTAAAAAGCAAACTCCCATAATGAAAGATAAATATCAACCAGATTTTGCCCCAAATCTCTAACACACTGAGGAATACAAAGTTGGCCGACTGACAACATTTAGATACGTGGACGACAACATTATATTTACCCGATAGAGGCCATGAAATGAATATGAAATCAAATAATGAAAGCATTCCCCTATCGCATTTCTGATTAGGTTTATCTTACGAACATGGCAACGTAACCGCTTGACAACATATGCTCTGCCTTAGTGTTGTTCAGATACAAGTGAGACAATGAAATATGACCCAGGAGGTCCAGTTAGAGTGGCAGATTAATGCGATTAAAGGCTGGAAATGAGCCCAGACACCGCACAACTGTTACCCACAGACAGCATTCTACAACTGTGGAAATGAATCACGGCTGCGACTGACTTAACTTTGTCATGACGATCGGGAGGCAAGCCGTGTTTAATGAACCGGCTCCACACAAAGGAGTGAGATGGGTGTGAAGTTTTCCTGCAGATCTGATCTAAACGTGGCCTTACAGTGGTTGCTCACGCAAAACTCGTACGTGATGAAAACTAACATGAGCATAACATGTAGAATTGTAGAGGGGCCATTACGTAAGCAATAAGCAATGAGACGTTCTGATTCATGGGAAAACAACAACGTGACACAGCTGAGGCATTTCCTCCACCAGGTCTGTGTTCATATATCAGAACAGCTCAGAGTGGAGTATCACTCTTATGCTGTGGCCATACACCCAAGTGTTTAAAATTGGTTTAATGTTAGGTGTTGGTTGGGTTTCTGCAGTGAAATACATCTTGCACACTGAATTAGACCAGTAGCTAAACTGTGAACCAGTATTATGACACAACTAATCAGTAATACATATTATATTATATTTTCTCTTCTAGTAACCACGCCTGTTAATCAGGCGCCTCCTGATTAACATTTCATTAAACTGGAATGTTGATTGTATAATTATACAAGCAGCACAAGTAAAACAGCTTGATAAAAAAAAGTTTATATTCAGAATGAAAACTCATCAAAACTCATGTAGATGTCAGTGAACGAGTCACCCTGGCTATTTGGAACCAAGATAAAATAAATCGTCTTTGACAACCCATTTATTAACGTAATAGAATTAATTTATTTTAATTCTGAATATAATATAATTAATACAATTCAGAAATCAAGCTATCTTGCGGAAGACTAGCTTAATAAATGTATTTATTTATGACAAATTATTTTGACTACGTAGCAACCACTAAACTTACTCGCTCAGATAATTTGACTGACTAGATCAATATCTGTGCGTTGAATTCATCCTGGCATGGCACTTTCATCCTGTTTTTTTCTTCCAATATCTGTGAAACAGCGACATCATATAAGTCATACCGTTTGAATACAGGGAAATTCTTAAGATAACTAGTTATTTTGACTATGATAAAAGATTTGTCATTTATCTCCAGGGCAACAAGGGTAACAACAAGGCTGCGTCTGAAATCGTTCACCATATACATGTTTACCATTTTATACAGTAGTGGTGTGACAGTTCGTAAACCATCAAGTGTACTCAAACTATTTGAGACCAATGGATGTCTTTTAGCAGAGCCATGACCAGAATAATGTTCTATATTGTCTTAATGTATAAAGCTACCAACCAGCACACAACACAGCCTGTATTGGGAGCGATTTCAGACACGATCTTTCTATTCGTTGAGTTCTTTTCTGTCTCCTTCTCGGTCTACCTGACCCGCTGTATGCTTGCCTTCTGTCTTTCTGTGTTCTACATACACCCAGTGACCAGAAAAAGAACCCCGTTTAGTACCACCTCAAACCACTTTTTACTTGAATGTTGCTTAAACCTCTCCTCAAAGAGGAATCGGCCCAAACGAGAGGTGGAGTAGTCGTGTTACCAAGTGTTCGTGCACACACTGTTGTCACATTGCAGAAGAGCACATTGCTATGTGTGACAACTACGTTCAAGTCGATATCTGTAAGCGGTGTAGCATTTAAGTATCATGCTAGCTAGGTAGCTCTGGAGAAGGACAAGCTTGTTACCAACTAGTTAGCCAGCTATCCGTCTGCAGAGCGTCGTCAGCTATCTTCCCAGCGAGCTACGACAACATTTTACGGCCCCACTGTTGTGATTGCCCCGATAACAACAATTGCCATTGTCTTTTGTACTAGTCAAACTACCACGATAATTGTCCCGTCAATGCCATCGTACTATTTTTATCTGTTTTTTTATATTTATGTTCTGAAGGCCAACCACGCAAGCTCCTCAGACAGGCAATAAAGGCTTTAGTCATTCCTTAGTTCATTCCTTAGGGAAACATAATGTCCATGAGCGGATGAACCTGGAATGTCCTGATAAACTGAGCGCTGGCAGGAAGGTTTTGTCTTCAATGGTTTGGCTTCAAATGGCAACTAAATTTAAAGACAACTTAATCAAAACGCGACAAGACTACTTTGCTGTGATTAGGCAACAAAACGAATTGGTCACGTTAAGACAACTAAAGTAAAAAAACATCCACGACCCTAACCTCCCTCATTTGAAACTTATTTGTGATTCGTGAAAAGCAAACGCAGTTCTAATGCAAAAAAACCAAACATTTCCCTTGAAAGGTAATTCTACAATGCAGTTGTGTTATACAGGAATGTAATTTATAGCAGATGGGGCTGTAAAGGACCCAGGGCTCACCAGTTGACAGCCCGATGTCTCCAACATTCATCTATCAATGGCTGCCCCCCTCTGCAGTCTGGACTAGTAATCTCTTCACATGTTACATAACAGAAAATTAATGAACGGCCTTTTGCAGGGACAGGGATTCCATTTCGCTGGTCACTGAGTGTATATTTACTGTTTTTTATTGTTTTGATAACGTGTAAAGAGTATTGAATCAATGGACAAAACAATATTTGTGGTTGTGTTTATGCTTTTCAAAATTGTGTCATTTCTGTATTGCCTTTGTATCAAGAGATATTTCAATGTGCCCAAAATGTGAGCGGGTGCGTCTGTGCAAAATGTCCAAATGGTCATTAATAAAGATATTGGTCTTAACTCGTTGACAATAAAGTGTCAAAATATCTCTCCGGCACAGTTGTTGATTAAGTGTAAACAGAAAAAGAACAATCCAAAGATTCCCCGGCAGAGAGCCTCCATGGAGTGGCTGGAACCTATAAAGTGGCTCCTTTAACTCCTGTGATTCAGTGGACATTGATCTCTGCTGCCCACAGTGGTTACATTTGAAACCACTAAGTCACTATATTAGCATAAGTGAACATATTAAGGTATGCTCTCTTTTTTCTTTCTCACCAAAAGACCAAATATCGCATTAGACAGAGACAAAAACTGTGAGTGGCTGGTATGAAATATTACTTTCTAACATTAGATATCTTTAAGTTATTTGCACTTTCCTTTAGTTTTTAGTAGTGAAGAACATTCAGAGGCCATACCGCAATTATGCTTAATTTGTCAGTAAACAATCAAAACATGCTTGTATTAAGTATTATTATTTAATTCTCTGTTATAAGAATGTAGTTGCTAAGTTTTACTGCTGTTGGACAAACAGGCAGTAATGTTATGTTAAGTTTGATCATCGACATGTTCAGCTGCTGGTTATCAACATGGGAAATGTCGACACAGATCACAGCTGATCCCTGGGAAGCTGTGGCTGATTTATAAAAACGAGTATAGTTTAAAATACTGTATGTTAAGTGTCCAGATGGATCGTTTAGAGAAGGAGAGGAGGAAGTGAAGAGGCTTCATTGTATCAAGGATTCAGGCAAAGTGAGGCAGCTGATGCAGATGTAAAATACAGCCGGTGCACACAGACAACGGAAGACCCTCCAGGAAAAAGATGTAATCTGAACTGAATAATCTTGAGTCATGTTCTGGTTCTTTTTCAAAGTATACTTGTTTTAGTTTCAATGCTACTTTCCCAATTCTTATCCGCAGGGCACAGATTCGTGCCGCTAAAGGTTGACGTAATGCCAGTTAAAACAGTCTCATGGAAGGATGAGGGTCGCTGCATTGCAAAGCAGCAATTTATTTTCCATCATTTCAAATGAAATCAAAAGGTAGTTTTTTTTCTCAAAGGCATTTCCTGGGGCAACATTTTTTCTTCTGTAGTAAAGACTGTTTTCAACACAGACGGACAGAATTTTGCAAAAGTAGCAGAGTTTCATTGTCACCAACGTTTTAGCATAATGCCATTAAAGTCAAATTGAACAGACTTAATAAGCCGAATAATATGACAACGTTACAAGGTTTGTTTTGTTGTCATTCTACAACACAGGACGTGACCATTGCAAAATGAAAAACAAACAGAAACTAGACTGGATTAAAAAACAACAGGCTGCCTGATGTGTGAAAGAATCTGACTACCTGGGTCACAGGCTGTTGAAGTGCAGCCAAAGATAATTCTGTTGATAGAGAGACCCAAAGCCAGGAGATTGAATGAGGACTGCTTCTTCATGAATTCAGGTATAAAAAAAAAAAAAGACAGATGCTCTTTAGATCCAAGGACATATACTGAGGCCAAAAAAGAGGAGTTGTTAGACTTGTTATTCGCTATTTTATCAACAAGACATAACCAACAAAAATACCAAAGCACACTTCACAAACTGGAACCGAGGGCGGCAGATGCACAACACAGCCGAGGCACAGAAAACGGAAAGCCCTCTGAAAGAGATGTAACCTGACCTGAAGAGCCTGGTTCTCTTTTAACAATGTACCTTTTTAAAATGATTCATTTCAATGTTACCTTCCCGATTCTTATATGCAGGGCACAGAGTCCTGCTGTTAAAAACAGGTCACGAGGGTTGCTTCATTGCAAAGCAGCAATTTCTATTCCATCATTTCAAATGAAATCAAAAGGTTTCTTTTCCCCTTCAAGGCATTTCCTGGGCTAAGTTTTAGCATAATGCCACTAAAGTCAAATTGAACAGACTAAATAAGCCTGATAATATATGTCAATATCAATATCTCTTACAGGTTGAGGCAACCAATATATTTTTACTTTGAAAGTATAAAAAAACGCTTCACATAATGTTGATTTATATGATTTGTTCTATTGCTGTGACACATTTCCACACCCAGAGCATTCAATACATTTATTACAATGCCAATAAAGTTGGTGGTATCAAGATATCGATGCTCTTATCGGTTCTTTTTGATTATATTGTGAGAAAAAAAAGACAATTAATGAAGAAAACTATTTACATTACTTTATTATTCTTGTATGTCGACAAAGAATCGGTCTTGAGCAGCAATACAAGAAGTTCCAAAAATATTTAAGATACATTCACAGCTCAAAAATGAGCTAAGTGATTAGCTTTAAGACTATTCTTGTGATCAAACTCCGTATGGCATCGCTAACGTTACCTGCAGTGGACGAGGATGGACGGCTACTCGCCAAACAGTAGAACACTGAGCATTTCTGCACATTTCTGCTCTGCTCGTTGGCCAGATGTTTTGATAAATTGCTGCTGTTTCCTCCCTTACTTGTGAGCGGTTTATTGCATTTGTGACAACGAGAGTTCTCAGCATCTATACCGGAGTGATGTGTAGCCACACTTTGGATCTTTTTCTTCTCTCTGCCATGATGTGTGTCTCACGCTGTACTGAGATGCAGTCGGTGCGTGTGTGTGTGTGTGTGTGTGTGTGTGTGTCAGAGTAAAGCACGACTACAATCTGCTCTTAATAGTAAGCTTTTGGCTCAGGACTCCTCCTTAAACCCTACCTCTAAGTTCCCCCTGCCGGCCTTCACTTCCTCACTCTGAGCTATCGTCAACTGGAGAGACTAAAATAGTTCCCTATTTCTTTAAAACTCTGTGCTCCATTTACTGCTGAACAGAATTAAACATCTCTTTAACCTTTCCGTTTCTAATAGAGTTATGCCCCAGGTTTGGAAATCCGCACACGTCCAGTGCACAAGGGTAGTGGTAAAAAGGATCTTAATTACTAATCGGCCCTGTCTGGCTGAAGTCCTTGAGTCTTTAGTTAATATGCAGCTCAAATCTTCCTCTCAAGAAAATCTGTGTTAAATCACCAATGTGGTTTCAGAGCTGAACTGCTGTCGCTGCCCTTACTTTGGTTATAAATGATATCGTGCCGCCGTCTTTGTCAATCCAACAAAAGCATTTGACACTGTTCATCATGCGATGCTCCTGGCTGAGTGATACTTGTTTTGATTATAAGTCCTTTTTATAGTATCAGGACTACCTGTCTCAGAAACAGCAATAGTGTGATTTTAGGAAATGATCTTTCTATATTCGTACCACTGTCAAAGGGGGTCCACAAGGTTTTATATTGGGTTCTGTCTTGTTCACAAATAGGATTACCAATATTACATCTTTCTTACCTAATTGTGATGTCCATGACACAGTTCTGTACCGCTTTGCTAATACTGCACACTGACATCCTACAATAAGCCTATATGACAAGTTACAAAATCCACTTTTTCATTTGAAATTAGTTCTGAATGCAAACAAGACTAAATGTGTTATTTTCTAGAGCCAGAGATATTGTGGACAGTAGTTTGCATATTGCCGCTCTGAATGGACATCATGTTGACAGGGTCACAAATCTCACTTTTCTGTACTACTGCACATGCTGCTACTTTCTCAAGAATAAATACAAGCGGTCAGATAAATCTGAACTCACTTTTCTATCTAAAAAGTGCTTTCAAACACCAGACCACAACAGTCGAATATGAAAAGCTACATCTTTTCAACACCAGTGTCTGTGTGAACCACCTCACCACATGAACATAAATCATTCAGCAGCGCATTACAAGTGTGCTGTGAGCTACACAAATAGGCTAAGACACGACTCCACTCTTAAACCTTTCAGTTCATCACTCCGCACCAAGATCTATTACGGGGACAATTATTCTACTCATCATTGCATCTTGTATGAACAGGTTGGGTGGGCATCTCCAGCAGTAAAAGGTAATAGGCTTTGGTTTCTATTTATTTATGAAGACCTTAATGGCAACTTGTTGTCCTTTATCTCTTCCTCATTAAATTGGTCCAGTAGTCTGACTCGTTCCAGTAATTGGAATACCTCTGACATCCTGTGTGCAAACACTAAATTTGGGGAAATTGCTTTTAGTGTTTGTGCTGCACACACTTGGAACAACACACATTCAAACTTAACACAATGTCTGGTTGTTTGCTTTCTCGTTAATGATTTTCTCGTGTGCATTTGTTCTGTATTCATTGTACCCTCGACATCATTGAAATGAGGCTGTGCCCTCAATGATTCCTCCAGAGTTAAGAAAAGGTTTATTCTTGAGAGAAAAAAACATTTGCACAAAGTCTGTTATAAATGGTAAACACAAAAATTGCTACAATTAGTTATGAGTCATAAGTGAGCATGGGAATGGCCATGTTCCAAAGCCCTTTTACACTTTCACAATTTATTTTAATTCATTCATTCATTTTTATGTATGATTTATGACTAGAACAACTTGACACACAGTGCTGTGCTGCATCTCTAATTCATCTTCAGGAGTTCCTAGCTTTGAGATGACACCACTTCGATGTTGTACATACTGCTGAACTGCTATCTCCTCCTAAAGACCCCCGTCCCCCCCCTAAAAAAGACTAGAATGGGCCACTGTGGGCTTAAGTGTTAACTGGAAACATTAAAGAGAATGGGACAAATTAACAATAAGTGGGCCATGAATGTCTGTACTCAATGTTATATAGTTGGTTGTATTTCTATCTGTTTATTTTTACTGTTGGGCTAGATAGTCTAAATAACAAGAGTGGTTAATTAATATAGCTGATGACTGCAGCCCTACAGGTTTAAACATGACTTGGCATTAAACAAAGGCAATGCACCAAAGTAACACACTGTTAATTACCTTTTCCTCAGGCTGACCTTGGAGTGGCTGTGCAATCAAATGGAAAATAAAAACTGTTGGGGGGGGGGGGG